TCAAAATCCACACATACTCAAGTCTCGCCATCATCCCTGTGGAATCCACTTAAAAGAAAAGTCAGGGCCGGGCACGGTGGCTCACGCTTGTAATCCCAGCACTTTGGGAGGCCAACGTGGGTGGATGGCTTGAGTTCATGAGTTCAAGACCAGCCTGAGCAACACGGTGAAACCCAGTCTCTACAAAAAAGTACTAAAGTCTGGGTGCGGTGGCTCACGCCTCTAATCCCAGCACTTTTGGAGGCTGAGGCGGGTGGATCAGGAGGTCAGGAGTTCGAGACCAGCCTGGCCGACATAGTGAACCCTCATCTCTACTACAAATACAAAAAATTAGCCAGGCTTGGTGGCAGGCACCTGTAATCCTAGCTATTTGGGAGGCTGAGACAGGAGAATCCCTTCAAACCCAGGAGGCAGAGGTTGCAGTGAGCCAAGATTGTTCCATTGCACTCCAGCCTGGGTGACAGTGCAAGACTCCCCGTCTCAAAAAAAAAAAAAAAAAAACAAAAAACAAAAATTAGACAGTCGTGGTGGTGCATGTCTGTGGTCCCAGCTACTCAGGAGGCTGAGGTGGGAGAATTGCTTGAGCCCAGGAGGCAGAGGTTGCAGTAAGCTGAGATCAAGCCACTGGGCAATAGAGCCAAACCTTGTCTCAAAAAAAATAAATAAATAAAAGTCAGCCTTCTATATACTTGGGTTTTGCATCACGCGAATACTGTGTTTTCTTTTCTTTCTTTCTTTTTTTTTTTTTAAGATGGGATTTCACCATGTTGGTCAGGCTGGTCTTCAACTCCCGACCTCAGGTGATCCGCCCACCTTGGCCTCCAAAGTGCTTGGATTACAGGTGTGAGCCACCACGCCTGGCCCCGAATACTGTATTTTCAATTGGAATTTAGTTGAAAAATAATCTATGTATTAGTGGACCCACACAGTTCAAACTCATGTTATCTGAGGGTCAACTCCATGCTATATTGTGTAATACACTAATACATGAGTATCTCTTCTGAATGAAGATGCAAGAAGCCTCAACAAATAAGAGCAAACCAAATCTAGCAATCTGTACCTGCAAACCATGACCACTGGAATTCTACCCAGGAAAGCAACATTAGTTTCACATGTGAAAAATAATCAATGTAAGCTGGGCGTGGTGGCCCACTCTTGTAATCCCAGGCTGAGGCGGGCAGATCACTTGAAGGCAGAAGTTTGAGACCAGCCTGGCCAACATGGCAAAACCCCATCTCTACTAAAAATACAAAAATTAGCTTGGCATGGTGGTGCATGCCTGTAATCCCAGCTACTTGGGAGGCTGAGGCACAAGAATCGCTTGAACTCAGCAGGATGAGGTTGCAGTGAGCCAAGATTGAACCACTGTACTCCAGCCTGGGTGACAGAGGGAGACTCTGTCTCAAAAAAAAAAAAAAAAAAAGGGAAAAATAATTAATGTAGCGGGTCACGGTGGCTCACACCTGTACAAAATTAGCCAGTCATGGTGGTGCATGCCTGTAATCCCAGCTTGGTCAAGGACTGAATCTTTCGCCAGTATGTACATGTTATATACAGCACGTGACATATACAGGTATCTATGTATATTGGAGGCTGTGTTAAGGGAATTCTGCACAACTGAAACCCTGATGTGTGAACAAGAGTTGGGGTCGTCACTCTTGAGGATTTGGGATCTTGTTGATACTAGGAGACCCAGGGACAGCTCTCACCTCTGAAAGAACCATTGAATTCAATCCCTGGAATCCACCCAGACCTTGAACGTACTTTCTCCTTACACAGCATCACTCCCTCAGGACTCACCAGGTGCAGCTGTGCTCACTCCTCTGCATCCTCTGCCTATGTCCTCCCGAGCACCTGGCATTTCTACTCTGGTGACAAAAGGTCCCAGTCTCAAGTCTCCTCCCAGATGGTGCAGTGGCTCATGCCTCTAATCCCCGGACTTTGGTAGGCTGAGGCGGCCAGATCGCTTGAGGTCAGGAGTTTGAGACCAGCCTGGGCAACGTGGTAAAACCCCCCATCTCTATTTAAAAAATGCAAAAATTAGCCAGGTGTAGTGCTGCACACCTGTAGTCCCAGCTACTTGGGAGGCTGAGGCAGGAGGATCATTTGAGCCCAGGAGGTCAAGGCTGCAGTGAACCACGATCTCACCACTGCACTCCAGCCTGGGTGACAGAGCAAGACTCTGTCTCAAAAAAAAAAAAAAAAAAAGTGCTTTTCTGTAAAAGTAGAAAATGGGAGTTCAAGGATGCGAAAGCAAGGGCTGGAAACGGATTGATGCTGCTGCTCCAGCCCCTCAAATGTTATAAATAGTAGATGCTTCCAGAAACATCCCTCAGGACTTCACCTTTTATCAGTTTGCTTTTCCACTGAGCACAGAGTGAGGGCAGCAAGGCGTGGATCTCATGGCTCAGACGCATGCTGTCCTCTGAGCTCTTCCTGGTAGTCCTCACCTCCACTAAGGCACATCTGCCGGCAGAACTACCTCTAGATGGCTTCACGGGACCCCACCACGTGCAAGCCTGGCAAGGCTGCCACCTGACCCACATCTGCTGTTGGGGTCGGATGGAAGCCTACAAAACTCAGACTAAACATCTTGAAGTGAGAGAAATGTCACTTCTCGTACCCAAGGAAAGACAGGAAGTTGTTGTGAGATTGGATGGTGAGCTGGCTTCCCTCGTTCCTGCCATGTCCCTGGCAGGACATTCTGACTTGCTATCCAGGTAACAGTGGGCACTGCCTCCACCAAAGGAAGGGGCTGACACCTACCATGGCTGCACAGCTCAGCAAAGGAGTAACTCTTCGGTGGTGTCAGAACAGTTTCTTGGGAGTTCAGTTAACCCTGTGTTCTGGGAGTGCATGAAGCAAGTCGCCTCCATGGCCAGTGGCGCTTCTCTGACATGGTGACTTCCCGTACACCACAGGCTGGAGTTCCATGAAGCATAAGTGCTGGCCTTGGAGGTGAGGCTACAAAACCAGCCCTGCAGCAGCACACATGACACTGAAGAGAGCAGAGGGCCTCGTCACTGTCGGGGCCCAAGCCAGGTGGAATGTGCCAGAAAATCTGGGGTGGGCCAGCTAGGGAAAGTAAGAAGTCTGATTGTGTCCTGCAGTCTATGGCCATACCACCCTGAACATGCCTGATCTCGTCTATGTCCTGTAGCTGGGACATGGTAGGGCATGTCTCTGTGGTACCAGTGTTGGGTTTCAAGACTTCTGTGGAGGTTGGTACAGAGCTGGTGGTTACAGGACAGTGAATCTTGCATGGCCAAAGGGCATGTGTCCCATGACACAGGTTCTGCCTCAGCTTCTCCAGCCCTCTCACTTTAGAGCTTACCTGGGCTGTCACAGAGAGATGTTCTGGAGTGAACTTTTAAACACATTTACCAGCAAGAATCTACAGTGTGGGTTTGGATGGGAAACGGAGCTAGAGATGACCTCCAGACGGCCTTGGAATGACATGATGCTGACAGCTGTGAAATAGGGTGTCCACAGGCAGATGCCGCTGGAGAATTGTGGGATGCACCTTTGTTTTCAGAACCACAACATTACCAAAGGTCTGAACCAAGGACACTGATGGAAACTTCAAGGCACATTGTGGGAGCCCTCTCAATTCTGTGCAGTCATCTGTGTGAGCTAAGGGCTGAGAGTGTTTTTTAACTTTCAGACTGGATTCCAAGAAAGGCCTGTTGGGGCCCCAATACTTTCTCCTCAGCCCTTCAGTTTGTCCTAAGGCGGTACAACGCCAGTCCAAGAGTCACCTTGTGTTGAAAATCTGTTGTTTGTTTTGTTTTGAGATGGAATCTTGCTCTGTTGCCAGGCTGGAGTGCAGTGGCATGATCTTGGCTCACTGCAACCTCCACCTCCCAGATTCAAGTGATCCTCCTGCCTCAGCCCCCCAAGTAGCTGGGACTACAGGTGTGTACCACCACGCCCAGCTAATTTTTTGTATTTTTAGTAAAGACAGGGTTTCACCATGTTGACCAGGATGGTCTCGATCTCTTGACCTTGTGATCTGCCTGCCTTGGCCTCCCAAAGTGCTGGGATTACAGGTGTGAGCCACTGTGCCTGGCTGTGTTGAAAATCCTAATAGTGTAGTTCTCAACAGAGAATATATTATGAGAGAAAGCTTAAGGATCCCTACCTCACAACCAGGGACTTCAAACGGCAGCATGAACTACTCAACTAAGACTCAGCCAGATGGGATAGAAAAAATTACAACTGGATAGAAATAACTACAGAAGTAAAAAATGCTGTTGCTGAATTGGAAATTAGCTCTCATATGGTTTCTTCTGTAGACTCCATTGAAGAATGAATCACATCTAAATCAATATGTCCTTTGGAAAGCATAATGAGAATATGTTCCAATTTTAAACACAAATTTTATAATTTATAAGATCATAACCTTTTATTACTGGGCTGTGTATGTGATACTTTGTGTCTTATTAAATATAACCTGACAATCTTTATTAAATGAAAATACTTTTGTATCATCATCAACAACAACAAAAAAACCAGGATGAAGAATTTCCCACATTCTTAATATTTATACGGTTTCTCTCCGGTATACATTCTCATGTGTGCTCAAAAGGCTGTGTGAAAGCTTTCCCAAATTTCTTACATTTACAGACTTTCCCCCCACTCTGAGTCCTTTCATATATTCACACTCTAGAGGACAGTTGAAGATTTTCCTGCTCTTTTTTTTTTCTTCATACAGTGGTTTGGTCTGTTGCCCAGGCTGGGGTGCAGTGGCATGATCTCAGCTCACTACAACCTCTGCCTCCCAGGTTCAAACAATTCTCCTGCCTCAGCCTCCTGAGTAGCTGAGATTACAGGTATGCACTACCATGCCTGGATAATTTTTTGGTAATTTTTAGTAGAGATGGGGTTTCACCATGTTGGCCAAACTTGTCTCAAACTGACCTCAAATGATCTGTCTGCCTCAGCCTCCCAAAGTGCTGGGATTACAGGCATGTGCCACCGTTCCTGGCCCATTTTTTTAAAAACAGATTTCACTACAGCAGGAGTCTTGTCTTTGAAATGAATTAGGTCAACTGAAGGCTTAATCACAATGTTTACATTCATGTAGTTTTTCACCAGTGGGAATTCTTTCATGTGTTCAAAAGAAACTAGAAAAATCAAGGGCTTCAAAACAATATTTGTATTCACACGGCTTCTGTCCAGTATGAATTCTTTCATGTATTCAGAAGGAACTGGAACAACTGAAGGCTTTAGAACGCTGCTTACATTCTTAGGCTTTCTCTCCAGTATGAGTCCGTTCATGCAGTCGAAAGTGACTGGAAGAAATGAAGGCTTTTCCACATTGTTTGCATTCATAAGGTTTCTCTCCAGTGTGAGATCTTTCATGAATTCGAACAGAACTTGAAAATCTGAAGGCTTTCCCACATTGTTTACATCGATAGGGTTTCTCTCCTGTGTGAGTTCTCTCATGCATTCGAAATTTACTGGAAGAAATGAATGCTTTTCCACACTGTTTACACTGATATGGTTTCTCTCCAGTGTGAGTCCTTTCATGCAATCGAACTTGACTGGAACGAAGGAAGGCTTTACCACATTGTTTACATTCAAAAGGTTTATTCCCAGTGTGAATTTTTTCATGTTCCCGAAGGGAACTTGAAAAACTGAAGGTTTTACCACATTGTTTACATTCATAGGGTTTCTCTCCGGTGTGTGTTCTTTCATGCAGTCGAAAGGAACTGGAACGAATGAAAACTTTTCCACACTGTTTACATTCATAGGGTTTCTCTCCAGTGTGAGATCTTTCATGAATTCGAAAATAGCTTGAACACCTGAAGGCTTTCCCACACTGTTTACATTCATAGGGTTTCTCTGCATTGTGAGTCCTTTCATGTCTTTGAAGGGAACTTGAAAAACTGAAGGTTTTCCCACATTGTTTACATTCATAGGGTTTATCTCCAGTATGAGTTGTTTCATGTTCCCGAAGGGAACTTGAGAAACTGAAGGCTTTACGACACTGTTTACATTCATAAGGTTTCTCTCCAGTATGAGTTCTTTCATGCATTCGAAGAGAAATGGACCAACTAAATGATTTGCCGCATTGTTTACATTCATATGGTTTTTCTCCAATATGATTTCTTTCATGCACTCGACAGGAATGAGAAGAGTTGAAGGCTTTCCCACATTCTTTACACTTATAAGGTCGTGCTCCACTGTGTGTTATTACATGTGCTCGAAAGCTTGCAGAATAAAAGAAGGCTTTTCCACATTCTTTACACTCATACGGTTTCTCTCCACTGTGAGTCCTTTTATGCCTTCGAAAAGAACTGAGAAAACTGAAGGCTTTACCACATTCTTTACATTTATAGGGTTTTTCTCCAGTGTGAGTTCTTTCATGAGTTCGAAAGTAAGTGGGACAACTGAAGGCCTTACCACATTGTTTACATTCATAGGGTTTCTCTCCAGTGTGAGTCCTTTCGTGTCTTTGAAAAGACTGGTAACATATAAAGGCTTTCCCACACTGTTTACATTCATAGGGTTTCTTTCCAGTATGAGCATGTTTTTGAAAAGACTGGTAATATACAAAGGTTTTTCCACATTGCTTACATTCATAGGGTTTCTCTCCAGTATGAGTCCTTTCATGTCTTTGAAAAGGTTGGTAATATATAAAGGCTTTCCCACACTGTTTACATTCATAGGGCTTCCCTCCAGTGTGAGTTCTTTCATGTTTCCAAAAACACTGGTGATAACTGAAGGCTTTCCCAAGCACTTTACATTCACGTGGTTGCTTTTCGTATTCCTGATACTCATTTGGTTTTTGACCAGTGTGAGATCTCATGTGCTTATTAAGGGATGAATGATGCACAAAGTCTTTCCCACAAAAGCTGCATTCATGTCGTTTTGCTCCAGTAAGAGTTTCCTTGTTCATGTTAACGTTTGGTATCTGGCTAGTGGTTTCTCTACATGTGCTACCTTTTCTACTTTCACAGAGTCTCTCAACCATATGACCTCTGTAAAGAATGAGCAGCACATTATTAGTGGCTTTTTTTTTTTTTTTTTTTTTGAGACGGAGTTTCGCTCTTGTTACCCAGGCTGGAGTGCAATTGCGTGATCTTGGCTCACCGCAACCTCCGTCTCCTGGGTTCAAGCAATTCTCCTGCCTCAGCCTCCCGAGTAGCTGGGACTACAGGCGTGCGCCACCATGCCCAGATAATTTTTGTATTTTTAGTAGAGATGGGGTTTCACCATGTTGACCAGGATGGTCTCGATCTCTTGACCTAGTGATCCACCCATCTCGGCCTCCCAAAGTGCTTGGATTACAGACGTGAGCCACCACGTCCGGCCAATTAGTGGCTTTTTAATTAATTATTTTATATTTATTAGTAGGTAGGAGAATTACATTTTAACCATTTTCAGAGAAAGTATAGGATCTTTGCCCTGTCTGAATTGTTTGGAAAGTTAATATATTCAATGCTCTGAAAGAAGACTCAACCACATTTATGATCAAAAGCCAATTTTTTTTTTTAAATAAGAGATGGAGTCTCATTCTCTCACCCAGGTTGCAGTGCAGTGGCATGATCACAGCTCACTGAAGCCTTGAATTCCTGGGCTCAACTGATCCTCCCACCTCAGCCTCCTGAGTAGCTGGGACTATAGATGTGTGCCACCATGCCCGGCTAATTTTTTTTTTTTTTTTT